GTTCAGACCTGGTTTAGTCCTGGTTCAGACCTGGTTTAGTCCTGTTTCAGACCTGGTTTAGTTCTGGTTCAGACCTGGTTTAGTCCTGGTTCAGACCTGGTTTAGTTCTGGTTCAGACCTGGTTTAGTTCTGGTTTGAAATCTGGTAAAACTACATCCATAAAAAAGTTTAGTTCTGATTTTGGCTCATTTTAGTCCAAACCATCTCACCTAAAGCCAAAATAGTAAGTAAGTAAGTAAAGTTTTATTTATAAAGCGCTTTTCACAGAAATGTATTCACAAGGAGCTTTATAGGTTTGGTCGAAGTTCCAGTTGTTACCTTTAGGCAATGTTCTGTTAAGCATAAATGGGTTCATTTTAACTACAAGTGCTATTTTTATGAACTTGTGTACAACTTAGCATTGGAAAAGCTCATAAGAAGTTAAATTAGATTTATATGTAAGTACACATAAATGTAATTAAAATGTATTCTGTGTGTATATTGCTATTGCTTTACCTACATTATTTTCATATGAAAGTCCATTAAAAATATGCTACATTACAAACAGGAACCACCAACTGAGGAGCAGTGGCTGTGCATTGTGGAGGAGATTTTTGTGATGGAAAACTCACACAGACTGAGACTGCAAGAGGATCAGTTTGTTGAAAAATGAGAAAAATTGAATGATTATAGATACAGAGCTGACACCACTTCAACAACCAGATAATACGAACATTGATAATGAATAACTGTATATGGATGTAAATATGTTGATACCTCTCCACTGTAACTGTTCAAAGAAAAGTTCAATGAAAAACACCTAAAATATATATGTATTAAAACAAAATATCTCACATTTACAACAAAACAAACAGTTTGAAAATCTGTTGAAAGTTGAGCAAGTTATGATTATTTTAATAGTACATGATGCATCATACACATTCATGAGTGGGAGAACTCCCTGTGGCAAGATGGCCGCCAGGTGACACCGTCGTCGGACTCCATTGGCCAACAGCGTGGACGAGTTATCTAACYTTTATATCTATGTTCCTAACACATATTCCCCTGTCTTATATCATGTTGCAACACACTCAAAACGTGTTTGATCAAACACAACATTGTCATGCAGCGAGACCCAAAACATACAGTTGAAACCAGAAGTTTACATACACTATATAAAAAGACACGTGCATCCTTTTTTCACTGTCCGATGTGAAATCAGAATGAATTTTTTTCACTTTWGGTCAATTGAGATTATCAACATTTTTTTCTGTGCTAAATGCCAGAATAATGAGAGTTTTTAAGGCAATTTTTATTGCTTTCTTCAAAGTCAAAAAAGAGTATTGTATTAGAATTTATGTGGATTTAAAGAAAGCATTTGATACTATTGACCAYRGTATCCWTCTTGAAAAGATGAATCAATATGGCATTAGAGGACCAGCCTTACAGTGAGTATCKAGTTATTWGAAAGGTAGGAAACAGTTTGTTCARATAAATGATGATATATCTGAACTCTGTAACATCACATGTGGAGTTCCTCAAGGTTTTGTACTTAGACCAAAGTTATTTATTTTAAATGTGAATGATTTGGTAAATGGGTCAGTACTCTGTGTTTTATTTGCAGATGATAATACATTTTTTATTTGGGTAAAGATATAGAACGGATGTTGGAGATGATGCAGACAGAATTTGTAAAAATACTAACTTGATTTAAACTTAAATGATCATTAAATTTGGATAAAACTAATTACATGATATTCAGTAATAAAAAGAGAACTGTCGATGTTACATTTAGAGTTGGTGTTGAAATTTGTAGAGTAAGTGAGGTAAAGTTTTTGGGTGTCATTGAAAAATATAGTGTGTAATCTGGAAAGTGATGTTAAAAATGCCAGATCAATGTGTGTGTTGAAAAGAATGATAAAATCTGGTTTGTTAAAGAAATATGAACTAGTATAATGTGTTTCTATATGGATTTGATGGGGTTATTTTTTTTGCTTAGTTTTCATTACTTGAAGAT